AGGCACAATTATCTATTTTCCGAAGTAGCCGCTGAAACTTACTTGTAAGCTTATGAGAAGGGCTTTGGTCACAATTCTAGCTATAAAGTCATTTCCAAGAAACCCCCATGTATGGTAGCTTCTTTCACATTGCAGGCCACAGCCAGACTGTCGTCTAAAAATTTGCTATTTCTCTTTCAAGTATTGTCATGGACAAATGGAAGTTATTAGAGCAGTCGTTCTTAACCTTCCTAATGCCTCCTAATGCCTTGACCCTTTATTATAGTTCCTCATGTTGTGGTGACCCCCTAAACATAAAATTATTTTCATTGCTACTTCATAACTGTAATTTTGCTAGTTATGAATCGTAATGTAAATATATGATATGCAGGATGTATTTTCATTGTTACAAAGGAGTTGTGACCCACAGGTTGAGAACCACTGTATTAGAGCCTTCGCATCTTTTCTGCCCATTCTGCTCTCCACAGTTTTAGTTAGGACTCTTAGAGTTGCAGGGGACAGAAATCCAGTTTAAGAGGAGAAAAGATGGCTCACATGATTGCATAATCCAGTTAGTCATTTGACTTAGCATAAATGAGCTCAAATGACTTTCAAGGGCTCTCACTTTGATCTCTTTATTTCTCAGCTCTATTTTTCTTTGCTCCTTGGCCTTCTCCTAGGATTAGTGGCTTTCTGCATGAAGTCAGGGAAGATGGCTGTAAACTGCTCCCGTTCACATTGGTTTTATAGTTGCTATCCCATAGGAAACAAGGTAATATTTCCCCATAGTGTCAGAAAAAAACTCCTAGGGAAGACTTTGGACTTAGTTGGGTTACTTAGTTAATGTTTTCTGTATCTAGTGTTCATACATACACAGAATGAGGTAGAAGTAGTTCCTCAATAGAATTGGTAAACAAAGCTATAACATTCTTCTAGGATTATTTTGTAATAAAGTATAATTCTTGGGTAGAACCTTGGTATTCTCCTCTTGGCAACAGTACCCCTTTAAGCAAGTACCCAATCTCTTAAGACATTGAATGAGATTACAAAAAACTGCACCAACCCCATTCACCTCCTTCCCAAATTTTGTTACTACTTGATTGCTAAATGGTCAATATAAAATTTTTTTTTTAAATATGGAACACTTCATGAATTTGTGTGTCATTCTTGTGCAAGAGCTATGCTGATCTTCTCTGTATCATTCTAATTTTCGTATATGTGCTGCCAAAGCAAGCATTATAAATGGTTTTTAATAAATGGTTTTCAAAGTGTGCACATCTAGGAATTCGTTAATAATGCAAATACTGGAACCTCATCCCAGACTTATTATGTTAGAAACCTTAGAGGTGAGGCCCTGCAATCTGCATTAACAAGCCCTCCAGGTAGTTTTTATGTAGAACCACTGACCTAGATCATGGATACTAAGCTGACTGACATAATAAGAAGGAAGGGGCTTAGCGCCTGTGGCTCAAGCGGCTAAGGCGCCAGCCACATACACCTAAGGTGGCGGGTTTGAATCCCCAGCCCGGGCCCGCCAAACAACAATGATGGCT